GTTCCTTTCATTGTTAACGCCACATCGACTTCATTGGTTTAAATCTTCGTTTTATCTTCCGTTGACGGTTTTGATAGGTGGTTCTCGATTTGTGCCTGGTACCGCCTTCTTCCATGAAACAACCGACTTTCCACGAAACAAGACAATGAGAGGACTTGAACAGCCAATCATATACCAAAGATCGGACAAAACCTTGGGTGCTATCAGCACAATAGTGAGAGCTGCTTTCTGCTCTTGTCAATTTATTTCACGATCTAAAGAGAACACAATAAAATTTCTCGTGTATGTCAATGATTCTTGGAAATCTTCAGAAACATACAGTGGCTACATCTGTTGAATTACAATGTAAGGGATGAAGCTTACTAATACTTTAAGTACAGCAAATTACTGTTTAGTTAACAGTTAAACACAATAGCTCTGTTGGCTTTTATTCAAGCAAAATTGGACAATTTTACTACAATGCCTAGAAATCGCTTTCTTCCAAATATTTCTTACATCAACGTTAACAGATCAAGGACAATAGTTTCTGTATTCACCACCAGATTTAACAGCAAGATTTCGCCATTCTGCCAACTGATCAAATGCGACTGTCGATTAGTTCTCAACGTAAACAACTATCATGTTCATACGCGTAATTTGCCAAACTAGGAGACACTGTTTCTGTTGAAGATGTCCAAGAATCTGCATAGATGCACGTCATTTGCAACAGCGAAGCAGGTAGCTGAAGGACTGTGTCGATCTAGGTTCAGATGAGTGAGGTGGGGGGGGGGCATAAGATTACGTAGCAAGTCCATTTCTTTTACGTAACGCAGTACAAGAGTGGCATAACGCGCATTTGCCTTCTAATGACCGCGTATAAAATCCGTGTGTAGTAAAATTATTTTTTTAAGGCAAAAATCCCTTAAAAACAACTGAATGTACAGATTACAGTAACTGTTCTGTTGCGACGCGAACATCTTTAATCGTGGGTTCGAATCCCTCTAGGTGTATGAAGGTAAAATCCTTAGAAATCTTAGTGATGAGCTCTGTCATTTCAAAATAATCCAATCATATATGTAATTGATCCTTTTCGAAAATTGGATGGATTACAGTCCAACATGTCTTAAGGCGTCCGTGTTTTTCGTATCTCTAAATCAGTGGTATTCAACCTTTTTTGTTCGCGTACCCCCAGATATAATTTCTATTCAACTTTGTACCCCCCAAAGTTGTTGGTGTATAATTCAAGTTATACATAGTATATAATCTACATCTAAAATAAATTAAATAAATTACATTACTGATTATTCAGTGTTTATCATAAAATAATATATATATATATATTTTATAATATGATGGCGCGTTACTTGCTAGGCCGGAAGAATATCCACTGACTACAGCCTGAAGTTTGTAATGCGATGTCATTTCTATTCTGTTGTCGGAAGAAGTATCTATGGCCACGCTGTTCAGTTAGTCCATTACCATTCACTCCTGATGGATCTTCATCACCACATCATGAAGTACGTGCTTGGTAATGCATGCTCATAAGAAATATTTATTCCTGTAAAAGGTACATCATGGATTCTAAGTAGGATATGGCGTTCACACAGTGGTGAGTACGAAGGTGGCTGTCTTCCGGGTTGTAGCGCCGTATAGTCAGGTAGACGTTTACCGACATATGAGAGTTCGTTGCTGCTTCCATCACCAGGGCAATGGGTAACATTCTAGCCAAGATGGACCGAGGTTGAAACTTGGGTATAATAATGACACGATCCTGTGTTATTCTTAAAATTCTTGAAGAAAAATTGGAAAGGGACGCTATTTAATTTGATTGCTTAATACTAATGGCTGTAACTTAAGCTTCCCATGCTGTCTGGCAATTAAATACTGTGCGTACTGAAGACCCTCTCAGTATTTATTTAATTATTTGAAACTAATGAAGGAAGACTCTGTAATGAACACATCCAGAACTGACAATATGCGCCCTCATTATAAGAATTCTATCTTGTCAGAAGAAGACGTGCATATCGTATATCGCTGAATAATTGTTATTAAGGATTTTGTATTTTTTTTTGGTAAACTGGTTACATAATTACGATTCGTCTACTTTTATAAATTTATAGAAGGGCTCGTGTGGAATAACTAAAATGCCCCGGTCTTGTATATAAAGAGATTCTCTTTAATTTACATGCATGTTCTTCGTAATAGACATTTGCCTGTGAAAGGCGTACGGTATTCTGACAACATTGAGCATGACAAAAATGCGTGTAGGGTTCACTGCGACGCTTTTAAATAGGCAAATTTACATGGCAAGGAGGCGGGTGAAATGGAACGGGCATGTAGCACGTGTGGTAGAAATGAGAAACTTTTGCAGAATTTAGAAACGAACGCATGATAATCGTGATGAAACACGTTTGGCTGGCTCTGGACTTGTAGTAAATTTTTGTGAACACGGTAATGAACATTTACGTTCCATAACAGGTGGAAGTATGAGTAGATAGGAGACTGTTAGCTTCTCAAGTAGTATTCTGCTGCATGGAAGTTTACGTCGCTGATACAGTCACGTGCGTGCCATCTAGTGTCACAATCGCGAACTGAGAAATTCTGTGCGGAAGTAACGCACTTCTCTCAAATTAGGATATATCAGTTTCGAATCTCTACCATCTCAAGTTGTATGTTGGCATACCAACTTCAAAAAGGCCACGAACTATATTCTTTCTAATCACTCATGGCCATTCGGTCCCATTTGACGCTGTATAACCTCTGAATTTGTAACAAAGCCAACGAAGGATTACAGTGGCAGCAAATATCTCAGCCTCTATCCTAAAGAAGTATGTTAAGTTGTGCTCCGCGGTTGTGTTCGTGTTCTTGGCGACTGCTAAGCTGGTCGAATAACATAACAAGGGAAGGTTGTAGACATTGGTTTTACATTTCCTTTCAGTATCTCAGTAGTTGAAAACAATCCTGTCCCCGTAAGATTTGAGGTTTTCGCAGCGGTGAGTATGAAGATTTCTGTATTCTGGGTTGTTGCGCTGTGTAGTCTGGTCGATGTTTACCAACGTTTCAGAGGTCATCAGGGCGATTCATCTACCAGACTACACAGCGCAACAACCCAGAAGACAGAACTTTTCAATTCTGTCCCCGTTCGGGCACACGTTGTATATCTTATTCTCGAAGATGTTTAACCAAGTCTTTCTTTTGATCATCTAGTCCCCTTTTTATCTCAAACTGGTGCTTGAAATAGTCTTCGTTTTCCCCTTTCAGCCGGATGTAATGTGTATTTTACACTATTATATTACTTGATTTCATATTTACATAAACTTCAACTCCACCTATATACTACTAGTGCTGCATTGCACCCTATCATATTTCATTTGTTTTCTGGGAAGCCAACGGATGAAACCAGAGCCTTTCTGTATAAACTGATGCACTAACAGAAAAAGAGCAAAGCAGGAGCTAAAGTTTTAGAACCAATTAAAAATACCTCGTGGAATGAGCTAGACGCTTCGTGAAACTAGATCTCCCAATGCGAACAGTGATGAGGGTTCCATCAGTAGCATTTAGGGGGTTTACTACTAATCAAAGGCAAGGAGACTATTGCCATCAACTTCGGAGATTTCCATAACTCCAGTTACAAGTGGGCAAACGGCATTTGGGGTGTAAGTCTGTTCTGTACTGGAAACTACAGCAAATTCCTGCGCTGCTATAAATCATTATACACTGCATGAGGTTTGTATTTCAGTGTGGGATTGCGTACAGCCCAACATGGTTACTGTAACTTCGAAACACTGCTTGAATTTTCAGTTTAACGCAGGGGTTCTAATACACTTTGAAAGGGACAAAATTATCCCCACTTATCCACTCGCGAGAACCAGGGTATGTTATGCTACATTAACTTGTTAAAATATTACCAGTTTTCTACTGCAAACAGGTTCACGTAATACTCAATAGATGTTTATAAAATCAGTCATTAATGAGAAAACTTACTGAATTTCATACCAGTTTTAATTTTCTTGTTACGATGTCCATGTGCTTCTTGATATGACGTTTCTCATTAAGTTATACAGTTGCTCACACTGACAAGTAGACCAACTGTCAGATAATGACATCGTGTTTTCTGATATAAGGTAACTCTGCTTTATCATAAAGAGGTACATTTTACCAAATATGTACGCGGGCCGATAACCTCTGGTTTAGAGCCTACATATGGACGTTAGTAACTACAGTAGTCGTCACCAGATTGCATGCTTCAAGGTCACTGAAGGACCTTACTCCCGTTACCCCTCGGCTCTAACATTGTGAAACAACAGTACACCGTTGCAAACTTTACCGAGTTGCGAGTTGTAAATTGTCATTTGTTGCTAGCATGTAACTTGCTGACGGCTACTGTAGCCATTAACCCAGAAATTCACGGCAGAGAATTTTGTGAGTCGCACTACGACAGATTTCCTTACCTCAGATTCTTATTTAGCAAAACATTTTACTTATATGACAGAATATACAAATAAGACCTGCGATAAAAAAAACAGTCTAGTCCATCCTTTAACCACCCTCCCACATCACAACCGACTGGTAGCCGTTTACAGCCAAATAGGCATTTAATTTTTTCTGCGTTTTCTCGTAGTCCAACAACCTTAAAAATCTCCTGAATTTGAGGGCGGCAACTACGAACCTGCAACTTGCAAAAATTGAACACGTATTTCATTGTTTACAACAAAACAAAGCTTAACCAGAAATTGAATATAACTTTAGGCCTAATATAGAAGTAAGTTATTATATATTATCTGTGATCATGACAACCCTACATCTGACGTCACGTAGTACGAAGGCGTTAGCAGACTTCATTATGCATTCAGTGACAGGCACAGCGAATATAAATTGGTTTTTAATGACCTAGCAGCTACAAGCAAGGAAACCAAACGGAACGAAAAGAAAATACAGAATAATTTTATATGATAGAACAGGCTTACATGTGACTGAGTTTATTCCTGGAAAGTGTAACCAGGGAGTTCTTCTGTTGACAGACACGGCGAATGTCCCAGCGGGTTGTACTGTATGCTCCTGGTGCCAGAAGGTGGCAAGCAGCAAGCAGCTCTTCTCGCTGAAGACTCCGACTGGACAGAAAGCCTTCTGTTCTGAGGTGTGCTTCACTCAGTGCAGGCGTGCCAACTTCAAGCGCAACAAGACGTGTGATTGGTGCAGACACGTGCGACACACAGTCAACTACGTCGACTTTCAGGATGGCGAGCATCAACTGCAGTTCTGCAGGTGAGGCAAGTTACAGTTCTGAAGTCTCGAGGTTTACAGTTTTGTAAGAGCTCCGTGTTGAAGTAACGTCCCACACTTTTCCAGCTCAGTAGCTTGGAAATTTGTCGTGTGTTCATTGAAGACTGGGAGGTGTGCTTCCAGAATCAGACGTCCGTCAAAATAGACTTGTTATCGTTACCTCTTGAATGATTTGTTTGAAAAAATGATGCTGAGAAAAATATTTGAACCTAAGAAAGAGGTAGTAACAGTCTGGAGAAAGTTGCTTTACAATTTGTACGCTTCACAAAATGTTATTCGTGTGATGAAATCAAGACTTTGAGATGGGCCAACATACGTCACGTGGATGAAAAACACAATTTAAGAGCGGAAATCCGCAAGATACAGACCCTTTTGAAGGTCCTAATATTAATTGGGATGAATCTTCAAGCAATACGACACGAGAAAGTGGAATGGATTGGATTCAGCTATTTCAGGCCTTCGATGATGTCACTCAGTAACCCCTTCCTTCTCATAATATGTCCCAGCCAGTTAGCTTTCCTTCGTGTAATCTTTGCTCGTTGACTCTCCTCAATACTTCTTCGTTGGTCACTCGATTCGTCCACCTGATCTTCTCTATTCTTCTCCAACACCACATTTCAAAACTCTCCAGGTATTTCTGTTCCTTCTTCCTGAGTGTCCAAGTCTCTGCTCCATACAGCGCGGCACTCCATACGTAACACTTCACTAGTTTCTTCTTCATCTCCAAGCCCAACTTGCTAGTGAGAAGTATCCTCTTCTTGACGAAAGCTGCCTTGGCCATGGCTATTCTTGCTTTTACTTCCTTGGTGCATAGAGCGTCCGTCGTGACTATGCTTCCCAAGTACTTGAAATGCTCCACATTCTCCAGCTGTTGTAAAGATATTAATGACTCTTATTTACAATCATGTTCGCATCTTCCAAAGTGCCGTTATCTCAAAACGGGATTTAAATTGTTCGTAAAACAACGTATGAGGTGGAACGAATATTTATGGATGTGGATATGGACCACTGACTGGTGGATTTGAACACTGTAATGAACATTTATGTTTCATGTTAAGCGCCTTGAAATTCATGAGTTATGAAACACGCAGAACGACAGTTGACGAAGTGACTACAGAAAGTCAGCACGTCATGCTGTAACAGAGACTGAACTGTTGCGATCTGAAGAGGAGGGTGGCTGGAGAGTTAAATGGGGCCAGGTTCAGCACGTAGTGGATATCTCTGTAACAGACGGTAGCAACTCATCCGGTACTCGCCCGTCATGTCTTAACTTTCAACATGCTGCAGATACAAACTGACCTCTTGTGGTGTATAAATCGCTACGAACTGCCCAGAGGTTGACTAACTTTTTTTGAACTCGGGGTGAAAGTCATTAAATATACATCGAAATTATTAAGTCTACTTAAAATAGTAAGCTAAAGCAAATTGCACTGTATTTTCGAATGATATTGGTAGCCGTGACCTACTTTGTTCGAGATACAAAATTAGACGTCATCATTAGTTGGGACTTCTTCGCAGTGACAATGTCAGATGAGTTTTTGTTTAAACATTTAACGTTACTGAGAGACGAATCCAGTGTTTAACTGTCAGCGAATCGTGTTTGCTGTGTCCCCGTTCCACCGCCACGATATTTTCTTGTTGCAGTGACAAATGCCTAAACCAGTACAAAATGAACATCTTCTGCAAGGAGACGCAGGCACACCTCCAGATGCACCCGCACTTGCAGGACGGAGCTGGCGGTGGTGGCAGCGGCTCGGGCGGTGGCCTAATAACTCCCGAACTGTGGTTGCGGGACTGCAGGTCTGATTCCCCTGCTTCTGACCGGTCTTTATCTCCGCCGCCTCCCTCAGCTGCAAGCATGACTCCCGCCCCCACAGCACCGCCTCGAAGCAGCCCCCCACCGCCGCCAGATGCCCAAGCCACAGACCAGAAGGACGTCTCGGGAAAGCTTCGGAGAGCCGGACGCCTCAGCAGGCGAGGTACCAGGGCGCCCGTCACTGCCACAGTGACTTCAGTGTCTGCAGCCGACCCAAGGACAGCTTCCTCGTCCTCTCCTCGCAGCGCAGGCAGCGTGTCACCTCCCAAACACAACCACGTGCCACATCTGCACACACTACCTCATCCCACCTCTCAGATACCTCCCATCCTGCACCCTCCTCCCCACCTGCTACCTCCAGACCACCACCTACCAAGACACCCTCCACCGCCTTTTCTACCACCGGGTATATTGCCCCCTCCACATCTGTTTACAGACGCACACCAGCACCCTCATCTTAATCCATCTCGGTTTCCAGCTGCTCTCCTCCGGCCTCCACCACGAACCTCTTCGTCTTCACCTCCACCTCTTCATCCAACTCCACTTCTTCCGCTACCTCACTTACAACCTCGCCCTCCGCGGGGTCCACCTCTTCACCCTCCACCGCAACCACCTTCCCGCTTCCTGCTGCCTCCAGTGACAGTGATGGTCCCTTATCCCATAGTTATCCCTATTCCAATCCCCATTCCCATTCCTATACCCCTCTTCCCCCCGAAGAACAACAAGGCGCGGGCCCCCGAGGACGGAACAGCTAACGTGACGACGACTACAGGGACGACGACCATCACGACGGCGACAGCAGCAGTGGTGGTGCCGAGTCATCGCAAGGAGAGCTCTGCCGAGCCACTTGCACCCTCCGCTAGTCCACCCCCCACAGCACAGTCCCTCCCCGAAACAAAGCCGAACCCTTCGTTAACTGCCATGACAAGACCTTCCGTTTCTGATCGCCCTCTGAGGAAACGCAAGAGGCTGGATGTTACGACCGAAGAAGAGAGCCTCGGCAAGCGGAAGTTCGTCCCTGTGTGATCCCATAACTGAATCCTACTTGTTCTAGATGATATTGTATTTGTGACAGCGTAAGTTCCAGTCAGTGTATAGGAAGGTTCAAAAAATACAGAAGAGTTATCAGTAGCCTCTGACTTACATAATTTTGCAAGGGGTGAATAAACTACAGAGCTGACCAATATTCAGAGACGTAAGTTACGTGTACATATCACAAAACGCACTACTTACATCGACAGTAAACGCTTACCCCTTCTTACGGCCTTGATCAGGTCAGCGAATCCAAGTTTATTCACCCCGATGATGCACTCTTATGCTCCACAAGCACATTCTCTTCTATATATCTGTCTGGTCACATGCTAAATTTGCAGGCTTCGTAATGTTGGCAATCTTTAACTTAGACCCACAGAGTTGGTTGGGCTTAGCAGCGTTCATTTAGAATTTCCATTGTCACAACACGGAATTACTATAATTCATTCAATGTCTTATGAAGCTTGACCTTCGCTTGGACATGTAACAGCCAATCACAATAGCAATTGCAGCTTGGCAGTGGCACGAGACATATATGACGTCACGTTTTACTGTTTAGCCGAGAAGAGTCATAAGAAAAGGAATGAGGTATAATGTGTTACGAAATCTGGCCAGTATGATTTAGGTTCAGAATTTGATCTAATTGTGAAATTCATGTAAACGTCATGCGTGCGTATATACCAATTTGCAAGGGGAAGGCTAGGAGCGAGTCGCTTGTGCTGACTGCACGGAGGAGCTTATCGGACTGAAAGCCCAAACAAAAGAAATACACTGACCGTGCCACCTCAGGTACACGGACTAGGCCCGTCCGCCAGCTCCGCTAGCTTCTCCACCGGCCAAAAACTACTGCGCCGACTATATGTTAAGTTTCGAGAGATAATCTTTTCTGGAGGTGAATATTTATCACCGTTTCACATTCTTAGTTACAATTTGTGTCATGGAAAGGACGCGGGATGGAACCCCGATCCCTTTCAATAAAGGTAAGGATATTAACTGAAATGACCATAACAAGGAATTACCTGAAGACGCGAGTAGATCCCATTTTCGATAAGATGCGCATATAAAACGTATGAACTGTCACAGACTTTTATAATATGCACATATGAGTCAGTGTTCATATTATTCTCATTGCCTATTTACACAGGGTACTGATTCTAGGGCTTAAATGTTTCTGATACGTTGATTGTGGCCCATTTAGTCAAACAACTCCCATATTTTATGAAATCCGAATGTGTAATACCATGTTCACTGGGCCCTTTGCAAAACACCCTCACTCCACCTTCCTTACCGTGGTTTTATTTGGTACTACGTATCATACAAACCTGTACCACGAAGATGGCTGTCTCCTGCCGTGTAGTCTGGTAGTCTTAGTGACCAGTTTTATCACCATGATGACGGAGGCAGCAAATATCTCTGAAACGTCGGTAAACTTCTACCAGACTACAAGGTACTTCCACCCAGAAGACAACCATCTTCGTACTCACCGCTCTGAGAGCCTCAAAACCTACTTAATCTGTTGTTATCCCAGCATAGCTGCAATGCTGTGGAATCTCATTGGCCTTGTTCAACCTTAGGTTGAACAAGGCCCAGAAATACGCCACACACCGAAATAAGAGTCCAGATCATCAAGGATTGAGCGCACGCACGCACGCACAAACAAAGTTTTGTCGTATTAACGCTAAGGTCTTACGATCTTGGAAATGTAGCTCGTCTGTAACCTGATTCGATTTTAGCCAAGTCCCGAATTTAGTGGTAAATGTTATAAAATATAAAGTTTCCCGTCTCCACAAATTTTAGGCAGGGGAGGTGATATGAGAAAACCTGCACTGTGGGTAGAATTTTATCTAAATCTAACAGTCTTGCGTGCATTTGATGTACCGGAAATTATTTAAAATGCTGACAAAAATTTTAATCAAAAAATCGTATGGAAAAAAAGCACCTGGGAGACGTAGTACATGTGAGGATAATATTAAAATGTATAATAGATAAATAAAGTGTGAAAATGTAGATTGGATTTGCGGCTCAGGATAGAGTCGAATAACGGAATTGTGTGAACACTATCATGAACATTAGGGTCGTGCAAAAAAACAACTGCTTTGCCAGGTGAATTACTGAAAAATTCTCAAAAAGAACGCCGTACCATGAAGCCAGTAATTTAGTTAATTAACCCCAACAGTATTTAAATTCAGTCACTGGCTCCCAGCCTAGCGTCGCGACGGGTAACAAAATTTGGTTCTGACTCATATTGAGACTTGTTTCATCAATGTTACAAAGATACTTCAGCGAAGTGAATGGCGTAGGGTCTGTAGTCATGAACAGGGCCACTGTTGTTTAAACACGTAGCAATTCTAGACCCTTGACGATAGCTTGAGATACGAGGACAATGAGAAGCAGAGGTTATGAGGTGTTAGAGTGATTAGTGATTGGAAATGCTGGGTGGAGGTGCCAGGAACGCCCTCTAATAATAAGGACATCGTGACGATAAAGAGGGCGTAGTCAGACGAAGCACACCAGTGTCTGACTCCCTAACCAATCAACAGAGTCCATCTACACATCTAGATAATCCACGCAGCCTTTCATATTAGAGCAAACGTCCGTTGCGGACATGCACTAGACTAAAAACCTGAGCACATCAAATAATCATCCATGATTATAAGTATTTGGTAATAAAAATTAAATGTAGTGCTCCATAATTCTAAACATGCTCGCTGTTTAAAAGGACGAATGTGGTGTTAACTCCGACCAGCATTTACGTTGGAAGACAGTCATTTTCTGGAAGTGATAAGCATGGGGAAAATGTTAAATGCATACAAAATTTTAATCAGAAAATGTGTCGATAACAAACCCTTTGGTTTCCTAAACGTTGGTGGGAAAAAACCCATTAAAATAGATATATTTTTAGCGCGTAAGTTACTGTGGGTCTGTGGTCATAACTCGTAACTAATTTGGTCCGTTATGGCGTGGTGTGAATTCTGTGCATGAGTAAACAATATCATTCTCGCTTTACTGTATAGTTAATACTCTCAGATATTTCCGTTTACCCAGCAGGTAGGCAGTGGGTAAAGACACGCACGTGAGTTCTGAAATCGCAAGAAGTCGCAAACATCTCTGCATGGGAAGATGGCTGTCTTCTGGGTTGTAGCGCCGCGTAGTCTGGTAAAAGTTTGTCAGCTTTTCGGTGGTCCTTGCTGCCTCTATTATCAGGGCGATGAGTGAGACCACGGAGCTACAACCCAGAAGAAGATCACCTTCAGACTAGCCGCTGTAAGAACCTCAAATGCTACTTTTCTCTACATCGCATTGCAATGTAGCGGAGGTTTCTAAAAGTTGTCGATTAGACGGCTGAAAAGCCATGCGCCCGTAATAAGAATCATTTGGAAGTCAACAACCGTTTAAGTGCCCTAGAAACCTATGATATGTAGGTGCAGTGTTATTTGGCTAACAATTCCTCCTTTGTTAAGCGTTTCTTTCTGTGCACTTGGGGGAGGCTGGATTACGTTGGCGGCGTCAGGAGGGACAATCACTTGCAGAGTTCCTCATTTCCCCGTCGCGGTAAATTTTAAGTGCGATTTCTGTGCATAGACTCGAGTGTGACCAGAGCAACTTCTGGGATGAATATTTAGGCCATTAGACAATAGGTAGGCCTCAAGAGTCAGTGTTTTGTACGTTCTTTGTCTTATTCGTCTCTAATTTTCATCACATATCTGTGTTAAATTTACTCTTTACTGATTGGTATAAATTTAATGTAATATTGTGGTAATTTTCAGTCATTCAAAGAGATTATTATCTGCCTTATGTTTATTTATGTAATTTGTAGTTTGTTTTAGTCATAACAGTTACTTATCATTACCTCACACAGGTGGGCAATGGTACCATTTTGCATGTTTTTTTATTTTTTTTCAAGAATATTATTTTTGCTATTAGAGATATGAGTTTGTCATTTATACCATACCACTAAAACTTTACTTATACCTTTGTATTTTCAAGTCTGAGAAGTGGAATCAGGGCTAGATTAAGGTATTTTGTTTCTTAGGCTCTTTGGTGGATGCGTTCTTTATGTACGTATCAATTTATATGGGTAGACTGATGATCAAAATTTTCTCGAGTAATTTCTTTGGATAGCGATTTTTTAACAGGGACCGTTTTTACAATTTTTATCGAAAATGACCAAATTTTTTCGTAGGCCGTAGGCACTGCGCGTATTCGATAATAGGCCTCTGTGAAATATGTTAAACAGAAACATATTTCGAGCTTTTCTTTGGACTTTGTCTGTTTATCAATTCATGTTTATTTAGTCGTTTGAAACACGCAGCCTTATAGACGTGGCAATGCTGTGTAAGACTTATTGCCTACCCCATACACTCAGAACTGCAAATAGGAGACTTAATTTAAGCGTGAATAATTGCATCGCCGATAGAGGCGTGGCAGTGCAAGTCTGCTGTCGTTACTTTTTTATCACTGTATTTATTTGCGTCTGATCTGGGGCGAAACAAACTGATCACTGAGTTGTATTTATTGCCTAAACAGAATGCTTCTTAAATATAAGGATATTTTTAAAAACAGGTAACAAAGTGTTACTATCAATTTTTGAAGTATGATTGTGTATCATGTAGTTGATTGATTGCTTTAAGCCCCATATCAAAAGGAGGTATAATAAATTTTGCATAAATATGGCCTAGTGGGATTTTCAGCGTTCTTTTAAATGAGAATATCTTTTTGTGTTAATCGAAGTATGTACCTGATCATAGCAAGAGATTATAAAACTGGAAATTCAAAAGTTGCGTCATATTGGAACAAGACGTAAAGTTAGATATCGATTCTAATCGATTCTTTCCGTTTATTATTTGAAAGTAGCCTACATTTGAACGCAGCTGTCAGTGTCACAAAGTGAGCGCAATCCTAGTAGCACACAACTTCACAAGAAGCACTGTTTGCCCATATCTTTTTTGCTGACAGTCATAGGAAATCCCTCCCGAAGTCGCACTTGAGACATGTAGCCTACGTTTCAGGCACGTGCACAAGACAGCTTACAAGGAAAGGGTGTAAAGTCTGGTCTCTGGGGGCGGGTCAAAGTACGAACTCTCATTTGTCATATTCATCGCACGTCGGTGAGTGCAGTCTTTTGAGTTCAGTGCCCGCCCTCTCTCTACCCTTTAAAAACACCCCCACCCATACTGGAATCTGATTATCAATCAATTGCTACCCCCTTATCACTTGCCTTCATGTTGAAAGCTCACTGCTTCCTAATATTTATTAATAGGTTTTAGTAATTATGAGTCTACAGAGTCTGCCTCGATCCTCCATAATTCTGAGCAGAACCCTCAGTTTAAAGTCGTATTCTTTCTCCAAAGAAAGTTACCACAGATGGCGGAGTAAGGTTTATATGTTTATTGTTCATAAGGGTCACATTTCTATGCCCGAAACCGACTTTTTTGCTACTGAAAGACAATTTATGACTGTTTATTATCCAGCCTTTAGTAGATTAATATATTCAATGTTAAAGGAAAGGTGAGAAATAATAGAAACAAACCATTTTGAAGGATGGGAACAGTTGGGAACAATTGAGAAGAATGAAAGGTAAGTACAAAAATAAATACTTTTAAAAATTAAAGAAAATAAAAGCAATGAAAATTCATTTTTATTGACTTCTAGCTTAGCGACAGGCTTGACTCTCGTTACCAGACTCCAGCGTTTAAAAGTTATCTTGAATATTTATTTATCATAAAAATTCTATAACATTATTTTCATATTCTAAGAATATATTAGGCATTTTATGATATGAGACTAGACGCCTTGAAAAATTTGATAATATTAATTAGTGAAAGCAGTTTGATAATCAGTATCACCTGTTAAAAATTGCTTCTAATAGAGAAGATAAAATAAGAAAATGATTTAAACTTGTGGCGTGAGATATCAACACTAGCGCAATTTATTATTAGTCCTAAAATTTATTTGATAGGATTAGCCTAATTAATTACCGAAGAAGATACAGTTTTTAGGTATTTTAATGTAAGATATAATATATTACAATCATTTTAAATTTTAAAACTATATGACGTCTAGGGATAAGGGAAAAGAAAACATCAACGTAACGACATGCGTTGCTTGCCGTTAACATCGTATAGCCTCCATTTTGCATAGGTTTTGCGACTTATTTAACAACGCTTTCAGTAGCTCAGATTATGTGGAGTCGAATGATGAGATGATTAATGAATAATGAATTAGGATGTGGAAAGAAGTGGTTGTGGTATAAGTTATAATTAAAGATACTATTCTGGCATTTTCCTGCAGGGCAGAAGAAAAGTCACGAAGAATTTGACAGGATATCCGGCCCCCTGGCTAATATACAGAGCGTTTCTTTTAAAACGCAACCTGAACTAAAATATTTGTATGCTTTCGTGACATAAATATAAGAAGACAAACAAGTTTTTTATGTGTTAGGAAGAACTTGCAGAACAGCTTTATAACATGTCCACCATTTTGTTAAAAGAAGCAAACACTTAGTGTTTCTCAAAATGTTGTTACCAATTGATGCAGTGTTGAGTCATTCCTTACCAGGATACGCACTGTTAAATGCTCCACGAACAGCAAGAAACGATTTCGATGCGAAGTAATGTTCAAAAAGGTACACAGATTCTGCTCGTTGATACGCCATTTTTACACCTGCCCAGTATTTTATTCGCACGTGTTCAGGAGTATATTAAATCGAGCGTTGAATTCACAAACATATTAGAATATGTACAATGTGTTCCAAAACTATGTATGAACACAAATTTAATATTCCGTATTATATTGTGTATACGTCTTTTTGGGACATATAGTAGATTATTGGGGGGGGGGGGGGGGGAATCAGCTTCAGAACCAGTCTGGGATTGATAGTAAGGAGGTTAGCCCTGGATATGTCCGGAATCAAACTCTGGGCCACGAGCCCAGAGCCAGTCAGTTTGCTGACTCACCAATTTTTTTTTCCATTAGTCCAATATTTCTCAGTATTTCACCTGGTGGTACAATACATTAGTTCAACAGCCTACTCACGTCAGACGCAAAAATTATGAATTGTATAATTAAGTCTACTTGAAAGTTATTCGTATTTCGTTACGGTTTTTATTTAAAAAAATTAACAACATAAACTGGCGAGGTGATAAAATACGGATTAACAAGTTTTACTTCTTTGTCAACTGTTACTGGTTATGTAGCAACGCATCTGAGTTTAAAATGACGCGAGGATGACAGAACACAGCTTGGCTGCAGTCCTCTCCCGTTCCCGAGACAGTAAAATTGCAGCGACATAATTCTAGGAATGATGACTCTGTGTTAGTCGTTTCTTCACCTGGTGTCTCTTTATTTAACAGGGGAGCAGGTGTGAACAGAAGAGGAGGCAGAACTTTCGGGCAGGTAATTTTTAATTGATGAGGAAACATGGATATTGGAGGGCAACATAAAATACGGCCTACTGACTGTGTGGGACATACCTGTATTACAAACTAAATATTTTCAAATTGAAGTACGAGACTGGCTAATAAATATTTGGTTTTAACCATTTCAATGCTGGTTTATGTCAGTACATTTCCATGACAACTGCTGTTGGAAAGCCATCAATAGTTATAAAGTTACTGAATCAGTGATTTACAGCAGTCATTATCTAACTACTTAACTAAACAGACAAACATCTATCAAAAATAACTGACCAATTGGCTGGCTGGCGAAATGATTCTTTGGTTTAGAGTCTAAGCATTTGTAAGCAGGGTCCACTTTCTGGATGCCAGTAAGGAGATAATCATTTCTTGCTCGGTATGTTTGTTTCCAGTCCGTACAGCACACGAATCACGGTTTTAACATTTATTTTATTGAGATACAAAATTGTAGAGGTCTATAATTACTACAGCTCGATTCCAAGTGATTGAAACAGTTGAGCGGGCGAAGTTTGCCTTCCAGCTCATGCAGTTTCATACACACTCACCACGATTTCTCGAGCCACCGACACCAATTAAACTGCTGCGACTGCAGTTAGTTAAAGAAACGTCCGTCAGATGGTAGTAGTAGTTGTATGTAGCTTCCTGAACATAGGTTGTTAAGACGGGAAGGAAGTACCTTGTTAAGAAATACTACATTGTTGCGTACCGAAGTTAGTTCCCCAAAATAAAAACCATTTCGGCGGAGACTGATAACGCCACGGGTCTCCATTATTATAATCCAGTGCCTAGCCATCTGAGCTATGGTATGGCCTTCATAATCGAAACTACGATTAAAATGACAGTCTTGTTCCAGCCAACCCGACGTGTTTCAGAAAATTAGCATTGACCATGATCTAACAAATTCTGAAATATTATCCCAACTAACTACCTAACTAACTAGATGGCTTACCGAACCCGAAGGTTCATCACCGAATTAACCAAAGCCCTCCACCGGACCCTGTCCTGGGCTAACAAAATCCAGTCTCCTTCAACTCCTATCTCCCATAGATCCCGCCTGATATTATCCTCCCATCTACGTCTAGGTCTCCCCAGCGGTCGCTTTCCCTCAGGCTTCCCAATCAATACCCCGTGCACACCTTTTGCTCCATCCTTGCGCGCTACATGCCCCGCCCATCTCATTCTTCTCGACTTAATAACCCTGACAATACTGGGGGAGCAGTACAGATTTTTAAGCTCATCATTATGCAGTTTTCTCTCCTAGGCCCAAATATCCTCATCAACACCCTGTTCTCAGACACCTGCAATCTATGTTGCTCCCTCAGAGTGAGAGACCATGTTTCGCACCCATACAAAACAACAGGCAAAATCTTAAATATTATCCTAAAGAAATTAAGTACACGTAAGGATTTTTCTAGGACTGCCCATTTCCTGTCAGATTACGAAATTATCCGAAATGCCCTGTGTTCCTCACTATATTCTGCTTGTTTATACGTGCATCATTAACACGAGTAATTCAATGACTGTCCTTTCGGAGACAAAAATAAACATTTTTGACTTTTGGGATGATAAGACTTGTAGATCCTTTATAACATAACATGAATGCCGCTAAAACTTCGTTTGCGGACTTTGGTGAGGAGTCTGGTCAAGAGAAAAAAACGCATTAAAAAGTAAGCCTATACTTCATTTGTCGTCACCGGAAACAACTAACAAATTCTTACAATACGTGGGAAAATTAAAAATTTAGGTTAGGTTAGTGACGAAGAATAGGCGCACTCATGTAAAAATTAAGAGCAAGGAGTCTATAAAACAGCTGACGTTTTTGATCTTGATGCCACAAAATCTCTATAAAAATAAATACAAAAATTTGTGTTACCATATGATAACAGGGTGATGTTTCCCATTTTTGGGCTGTCTAATTTTCTAATCAGTCTGTCATGTGTTATGCAGGATTTACTATAAAGGAGACATAAGAACACACACATCTTTCACAATTCATTATTATTATCATTATAAAATATACAAGAAAGTATAAATTAAGTCTTAATAAATTATATGAAAGAGCAAAACTTCTTTCTGAAATGCATTTTCAAAAACTGTACATAATTGTTTACAGATCCAAAGTTTTTGTTAGTTTCAGTACTAATTTTCCACGGATTTAAATATTTTTACTTCGTGTTTACTGCGTTCTATTCAGATTTACCGTGTCCTATGACACATCCGGTAACTCACGTGTTTTTCCTGAAACGTAAAAAGCTCAGTCGAGCTGATAACCTCTGTTCCTTGGCTGCAATCGTCTGGCCTATGAGCTGTCCACGTGCTTTTACGTCTTTGTACTTACAGCATAGACATCGTGGCCAAATTATGACGATTCATAATCTGAGGCATTTTCTGAGTCGGAATCATCGTCTGATACAGACGATTGGGAATGTCTACTAATTGTTATATAATATTTGCATTCTCGAACGGGAACTGTTACGTTACTAGTTGTATTGAACACGTGGATATGACCTCCAGACTCAGTTACCATTTCCGGATCCCTAATATCGTCTTGTATTTCGTGTTTATATCCACCAGCTATATTAACTTCGTATATGTACTTATCGGCGTTATGTTTTGGTCCAACATATTTCACAGTGGTGCAGTAGTATTTCGAAACACAGGGTTCCCTCAAAAGGGTTAAGATAAGAAATATTTCAATACCTCTTATTACAACCAATTTCTGAGTTTCACAAGAATAAGACAAATGTATAGGTTCTTCTTGTGTAATAACGACCCTACAGTCGTGATGTTTTTCTATCATGTGTCGTTGCAGACCGCTTATGGGGCCACACCACGAACAAGGAGAGTCAGAAGAAGCAAATGGACACGGGATTTGCTGGTGCACGCAGACTATCGAGTGATTTCTCATATCGTCGATGAGAGATCTTTCGCTGCAGCCCCAGGATCGATTGTTACAGGGGACCCTGATATTCGCGCTCCTACACGCTTCTTCAATTCCTGTGTTCTGGTATTTGTCAGCCGGAAGTTTACAAATCGGGCATACTGTTAACTGCGTGACGCATGTCTCACATCCATTGTGACCGTTGGTGCATATTTCGATAACTGGAGGAAGTATGTACTTCTTGCATAAAGAGCATACCATGAACTCAAGCCAGGCATTGTGCAATTCTGCTACGATATCTTCCATTGTTTTACGTTCCTGAAAATTAAAATAAAACACAGCCGTAATATAATGCATATTTTCCCAATATTTCTCTAAAACGGAATTCCCGAAGCTCAGTGCATCTCCGCTTTGTAAATCCTTCCTGACTTGTTATTTAAATTAAGACTTAGCATGTCAAAGAACAAAAACAATTTATATATCATTATTATTATTTTTAAAGATTCTATTTTTCCTATCTTCGGGGCTGCATCGAGTGGCAGAAGTTTACCAGTGTTTCAAAGGTCCTTACTGCTTCCATCATCAGGAAGTAATATGGTCAAATTCCAGGAACATGCTTTTGGTTTTCCAGAAACTATGAAAGTTTAATTTAGCTGTATGATATTCCTGTAGTCAAGCATCATTGATTGTTAAAGCTCACCATCATCTCGTAGCTGAGAAAAGTAAATCAAACCATTATGGCTGCAAGAAGTGCAATGTCCAGTCGTGGACTTGTTTGAAAATGATGATTTCGGCAGTGATTTTACTAGTCACTCATAAAACAGTCATTATGCAGAACAAAAGAAGAACGTATTTGCTATGTTAGTCACTAAATAAGCAAGCAGTTTATTTAACTAAATAACTCCATGGAGCAAAGTCTGTCTTAAGAAGCTGATATTCCCTCAATACTTAAAAGATTCCCAGCCTTTATGCAGCTCGTAGGTTTATTACCATGATCACAATAGCCCATGAAGTCACAGAGAATGCGTTAAGTTCTCCGTGTTTACGTGAACGAACTCATGAGGGCATTTTGTACCTCAGTAGCCTCACCCGTTCACTCACAGTTTCAAATGGCAAAAGATGCTTACGAAATTTTATAGTTTGTGTAGGTTCTGAACTTAAACTAATTCGCATTAAATGAGAAACACGCATAACTTAGTAATGTTATGTTAATAAAAACTCAAATTGGTTAGTATGAGCTGGAGATGTTATCCGGATGGCGAAGACATACATGAATTACATGTAGAATAATGTTGAGGAAACTTCTTGGAACGCGGAAAATTTGAGACCGAAACTATTTATGATGGTGGACGCAGCTGACACAAGATCTTGTCTAATATTAAATATGCAGAATCTCCATATTCTGTTACTAGAGTGTTAGTTACTGGTAGTTTAGGACCATAAGATATAACTAAGTAACTAACTCCCTGGTAGCAGAACCCATAGGTTCAACACCGACAATACCAAAGCCCGCCACTCTGCTTTGATTTTGAGAGACTTATACTTACGGTAATTCGATGAGGTGTTTCAAAGTTTCTACAACTGTAGAACGCGAATGCCAACTGCAACAGAAATCAAATCCCAATTTCTTCCTCAGTCACCTCACGTCTTCGGGGAAACTCCACGTGTCTGTGTGCTGTCCTACTTTACACGTGGGCCTTGTACACCAGTGAATGTGGTACCTCCAGGGTTTTCCCTAATGGACCATAGATACAGTTATCGTAGCAGCAAATGAAATGAAGATACAAGTATGCATAAACACTGAGTCACAACAGTGCATTATGTACGCCAATTGAATCATGGCCGCATTAGTGACGTATAGCAAGTAGGATTAAGAAAAATACGTAGCAACTCTGACGCGTACGTTATGTTACTGGTTGTCAGATTTTCAGTTTGAGAAGGTTCTTAAAATGGTGAGGACTATGACAACATTCGGACAAGAAAGCCTAATGAGATATTGAAGCATTTGTCGAATTTATCCACAGTAAAACTGCGGTTAGGTTACTCCACTAATATAAAATATAAGATTGAAATTCTATTTTTGTGTGTGTATGCTAGCTAAAGGCTTGAGACGAGACAAACTTTCTGTAAACGTAGCATGAAGAGATTTTAGAGAGGTCAAACATTCGATTAAGTGTCCTGGGTTTATGTCCCATTGAGGGTGGTTTCTATAAATCGGAAAATACGCAACATGGTAGATAGGCACCATATTCAAAGCAGTTTTTTCTTCCTCGACAAATCTGTCCAGTGATCGTGTCCCGATAAAGATGTTTTATGCTCGCTGGAAAATGATGATACAACATACATAAAACCAAAAGTGTTTCGACGAGATTACAGGACCAAAATCCACAACCACTAAAAATGAGTTTTGGTTTTTGAGTTGTGATGAACTATGTACTGTTCTTCAGAGAAAAAATTGTACTTGATAAGCATAAAATTTTGGCCTAATCTTTTAAATATTTATGAAATAAAATATACATTCGTTTTTAATTACTATAAACAATTCGGTGGTCTGGAACCGAACCCGCAATATGTCCGAGGCATGCCTGTAATGTGTTGTCAAAACAATAATAACGTTGGAATCAGCGATTTGTAAATAAAAATTCATGGTGGATGAGTTTACACTTTATTTTATTTTCTAATCCAAAATAAAATGCTCTTTAACCTATGCTTAGAGTCTTTTCTTTGTTTTGTGCACAGACTACACCCTGAAGTGGTAACGTCTATTTCAGAGAAGGTGCCTGTCTTCTGGTTTGTTTTTTAAGTTGCTTTAACAACTCGCTTTATTGCGGTGGTCTGGAAGAACCCGCAATATCTCCGAGGTATTCCTGTATTGAAAACTAAGTGCAGTAGATATTTGAAGACAATTAAACTAAAGGTGATAAATCAATAGTGCGTGTAGTAAAACCCTTCTTTCTGAGGAGATTACTCACAAAATCATTCAGTGGGGCAAGACTTTACGTTACACTTATAACAAAGACCATAATATAAGCACAGTTTTAATAGAACGTGCTTATTTATTCCCATAATTCCGTCTGATTACTCGTGTGGGTTTGAATTTTTTGACTCGTATTAGGAACCAGATATTTATTTTGATCTGTATCCTGGGGTCTCGGGTTCGATTCCCGGCGGTGCCCGAATTTATAACTTGTGTTGGGCAAGGCCGTGGTCTAGGCAACACGGAGTTTTCCTCCGTGGCATCCCAACAATTACTCAATTCACACACACAGAAGAAGGCAATGGCAAACCACTTCTGGATCATCTGCCAAGAACGTATATGAACAGGTCCCAGTCCGAGATAAGGATGGAAGGAACCTGTTCATATGGACCTGTCGTCAGACAGAACACTAATAATAAAAAAAAAACGGTTAAAGTTCGTTTCGCTTTAATAATCAATAAAGCAAACGTTGAGTTTTCAAAAGAAGTAGGCGTTGGTTTGACAGAGGAATGTTCTTCACATGGACAGTTGTATGTGGTTTGTTCGCAAGTTGCTTCTGCCAAAAGGTTACATATTGGCCTCCGCAGGAAATACACAGAAATTCTTTTTATGAAGAAGTTCTTTGTAGAATTTGCATCATAAGAATTTACATGACTCTCCCTACCGGCTGAGGAAGAGACTTTACACTTGCATCTCAAGAATTATGTTAATGATTTTATGTTAAGAAACATTAAAAGTTTGTTAATATAAATTCTTATTCAGTCATATTTTTTTGGTACAAGTGACTTGAGTACGAAGAACGGAATCAAATGTTATTTAATTTTATACATCATAAATGGGCAAAATATCAACAATATCTTTTAAACTAATTACTGTCAACACAAATTGTTTTGAATTTAAGGATAATATTTTTTTTTCATTTCGAATAATCAGGTTTATGATTCGCTATCGGGGAAGAATGATATAAAATACAGTGGAATTTCGATATAACGCGGGTTTCGGGGGACAGCTTCAGTACCCACATTCTACGTGAAATATGTAAAACATATGTCATCATATTTGGGGGTAATGACCAAAGCCGCGGTATATCCAGGTACCACTGTATAAGCATTTGTGGAATTTTCCCTCAGTAACACTGTGAGAACTTTGCTCGTTAATTTCCAATATTTTCTAGTCTTGCCCTATTGACGGAAGCATTCGTAGGAAAGTAGGCGCCAGAATTCTTCCGAAAACTTTTTGTATTTAAATTCAATTTGTATGACTGTAAACAAAAGGTACATTGTCCTCGTTGCTTTTGTTCAAGAAGAATTCGATCGTAAAAAGGAAACAATATTCACTTGGATTGAACAATGGGCCTAATTCGTTCTTGATCTTTAGGGTAAGACAACAGGTAGTGAGTGACAGAGGTCTGTTACCAAGCAAACGGAATTTCCAAACCTAAGTACGGTTAATCCATTCTTTGTTTCCCACAGTGGAATAAAAGCAGGAGTTGCGAGGCGTAGAAAGTAGGTTTTGTGAACACGGATACAAGGACCCAGTTTATGAAGATAATAAGAAGGTTGAAATCAATATTTACAGATATATTCAATTAACGTTTTACAATTATGTTAGTGTTCCCTAGGTGGATTATTTGTTTTTATTTATATTTCTTCATTTATTTTGCTTTGTGTTAATAATGTTCCTATTTTGGGTTTGCCTGTACTTGACAGTTATATTTAATACTGTACATGTATAAGTTCAGTTAATATGTTTGTGTAATATTTTTCATTATTATTTCATTATTATTGTATGTATTATCAGTGTTTGCCTGTTATTGGCTTCTTGCTGTTGGCAAACACTTAAATAAATGAATTGAATTGAAATAATTATGCATAATATGAGTTTTACAATTCGCATGTTGTTAAAGCAACTTAAAAAACAAACCAGAAGACAGGCACCTTCAGACTCAGCGCAGTGAAAACCTCAAATACTACAATTAATTCGTTTCTTCCCTCAGTTTGTAGTTGTATAAATATATTCATGGGGGGTGGCAGAAATGGAAGTAGAAGCTCATAAGGACCCGTGCTTCACTCATATCTGAATTGTTTATAGTAATTAAAAACGAATGTATATTTTATTTCATAAATATTTAAAAGATTAGGCCAAAATTTTATGCTTATCAAGTACAATTTTTTCTAAACACTTACCTTTTTCTGCAGAAAATGAGCAGAAGCAGAAGATTATTGAGGAAAATATTCTTGAAACTCTTTAAATATCCTAGGCGAATGAATATACACCAATGTTCTCTTCAGTACGATGTCTCTTTTGCTACTACTGAATATTTGTCACTGACAATGTGGTCATTCAAGGTTTAGACCCTCCAAGAAATTCAACCATCTAAGAACAATTAGAGTTACCCACACCCTAGACCAGTGGTCCCCAACCTTTTTGTGCCTACGGGCATATTTGAAAGTTTATGAGATCGTGGCGGGCACCAACCAATTAACAAAGCCAAATTTTCTTTTCTCTGGACAAATAAGATATGGACACCAAATAATACACAAAACAACACGACGTTTAATGATACAAGAAACCATGCAATCAAAAATACGTACTTTTATAAGTACAATTATTGTTACTCAAGTGGGAAGTTAGTGTGATGTTTGGCACTGCATTTCATCGGCCAGTTTTTCAAATTTGGGATTGTAGGATGATGTTGCTGCTCGCAAACAATCGTCAAGATGGGCGTCAGTAAGTCGAGATCTGTGCATTGATTTTATAATGTTCATGGTTGAATGGCCTTCATTATTCAGTATAACCTCTTTCCGTAACAACGCGGGCACCCAAAAAGCCTTGGAGGGCGCCATGGCGCCCGCTGGCACCGCGTTGGGGACCACTGCCCTACACTAACTGCTTATAGGCTTTGAAAAGAAAAGAGGAGATATTTGAATTTCGTCTTTATGACAGTTTCTGCAGGCCTAGACCAGGTCCAGATTTACACGACTTCAAGACTTGGACCTCTGTCTTTCTTTCTTTACTTCCTTCCACGTGGCTCTACCCTCCCTCAACCGCCTTCCTTCTTATGTGAGATTTCGGAATCGATTCTTCTCGAAATGATATAAATTAAGAAATAGAGGAAAATACTTTAATATACAGGCAGTCCTCGACTTGCGCCGATTCAGAACGCCGAGTTTGAAACCAGCAAGACAAAAAGTGGAAAAATATATTTTACTATTATTTATAACGTTTTACAATGTATCTCGTAATGATTCTTATACTAAATCGTAATTATTACATCGCTGATTTTGAATAAAAATTATAAATCTCTACAATTACGTATGTTTCGTTAACGCGAATTTGCTCCAATGACATCGATGAATCGCTAAAAGCTGTTTGTGAAATGCAAACTTTTACATATGCGAGTTTACTCTCATGCAATTTCATTCCTGGCGCTTTAAACATTCAAAGGACTAATTTAATCTCTGCGGAGGTACCGGGGTTATTTTTAATACGCGATTTTCTATATTTTATTTACGTTATTTTAGAGCTTTAAATGTAATGCCATTATATTAATCGTCAATGTTTGGGTGCTCGGAACGCATGTCATTGACTTCCCATTGATTTACATTATAAAAGAGTTTCAATTTACGCCGATTCCGTTTACGCCGGTTCGTCCAGGAACGCATCCCCGGCGTAAATCGAGGACTACCTGTAATTTGATGTAAATCGGAGAATAAAATCAGTAATACGTAACTGGAAATGGAGAATGAGGAGAAAAATTATGCGTATAAAAATATATTGCGCATAGTAAGAAAATGGTACCACTAAGAAGAGTTACATTAGATCTGTGGACAGCATAGACTATATGATAATTACGCATCTTAAGCATGAGCAAGGTTAAAGTAAAAATATATAACATCTGTATGTGTAAACTCAAACATGAGAGACATAACATGAAGCTATGTTGTAATGAAAATACGAACTCCTTGAAACGAAGAGAAAATTTCATAAACCTAGTTTCGAGTTCATTCAAACACATAATAACACTCACTTTGAGAAGCACAGTTTGTCTGATCCTAAGTCTGCGTCTTAAAAGCGAATTAAATAACAACACACTAAGCACAGAGTCGAACAGAATTAAACATAATTTAATTACGAAAGTAAGTTCCATCAGTGAGTTCGATGCATAAATCTCAGCACGAAACATGAGATTAAACATCTCGACGTGTAGAAAGATAGAAGATTACCAAAATGTCAGACGTTTTTGCTGTATCCATCATCAGAGCTGCTTCTAAAACGTTGGTAAATTTTACTAGACTACACGGCACTACAACTCAGAAGACAGCCATCTTCGTACTCACCGTCGCAAGAAACTCAAATCTTACATAGGAACGTCGTGTGGATTTGCATGTAGATACCAATGTTTTGCAGGAACAAACTATATCCATCTTCTCAGCTCTGAAGATGGAAGATGGAGACAGCATGTTACAACGAAAAGTTGTATCTAGCCTGCCTACAAGACCACACTGCTTTACTACATACCAACACCGACATCTTCACTGCCGTGACAAAGTCACATCTCCAGGGTGAGACTAATCAATGAATGGTATGCCTAGTCACTAATAGAACATAATGTGAACCAGTCACTGGCTTAAGTTCTTCTAGAATGAACAGCATTTTACAAAAGACCAAACGTAAATTAAAAATATGTCAGCAAATATAACAAGTAATTCAAAAACTGATTCCTTATCTATGCCTTTTTGTTACAAATTGTACCGCATCGGAACAAAGACGAAATATTTATTAGAAAGGTTTATGGTATTCTCGAACGCATCTGCCACTCAATGAGAATGATGCTGTAAGAAATCCTATGAATTCCAATGAACTGACCTTTGATGTTGATAGTCAGAAATTTAATTAACTTGTAATATATGATTTGAAGCTTTCACGGTGACTAAGTATATTGAATTCTTCTCCGGCTACTAGCCATATCAGGTGGCTGAATGGAGAAGAATAACAATAATAAAAAACCGTTTCGAGAACCATCTTCGTCCTCGTCCTCAGGGTACTAAAGAAAGATGGTTCTCGAAACATTGATGTTTTAGCCTTTCAACCACCTGAAATAATTAATTAAACATTGTAATATTTTATCTACTCGTATGTCTGCGAACTGTCGAAATAAACATAAGATAACCGAAATGTGAAATATTGTGTTGACGTTTCAGATTACAGACGTATCGCTTTTTTCTGTTCATTACAGGCCATAGAGGCTTTCTAATACACCAGAACAATCACATTGTTCTAACTTTATTTTTTATGCAGGAATAAAAACGTTGCCCAACGGGCAGCGTATCGACTATTAATAAAACATAACAACAAATAGAGAAATTAAGAAGAAAAGTGAAAATAATATTTACACTTACATAAGTCATGTCCATCGCAAGATGAAATGATGTATGTAGTTGGCAATGCATTTGAATTTTCTCTCCGATCCAGTCTGTAAAACAAAACAATAACAACTGACTGTTACAATTAGCTTAATTTATTTCCCATGTATGCTAACAGGCATTATCCGAAATAATTAAACATGCGGGCCATCACCCCATTATGATTTAATTTTAATTTTGTTATTTGTGCATATAACGTATAAAGGCTTTAGGGCTAACTTGCATACTTTGAATCCGTGAGTTTATTCAACGGCTACAAAATCTTGTAATAACTAATACAACATTGAAAAATACTGCATGGCTTATTGAATGACGACGTGCAGGAAACCTATTACAGAGGGAAATTATTTTATAATCCTATTCATCTGTCAGATGGATTGTCATGAATTCTGTGCTGGACAGGGTGCGTAGATAACATGTACCAAAATGCTATCAAATGTCGACTTCTTAATGTCTCATTGGAACAAGATTCTTCTTCGTAAACATATTATTTCAGCTGATAAAAATTATTCCTCGACTTTTATGAGACCCGAAAATTTATTTCCACGTTTACATGAGCCCGCAATTTGACCCTACTCACAGCCAGCTAGTCAAGCCACACGCCCTAATTGGTGGAAGATGGCTGTCTTCTGGGTTGTAGCGCCATATAGTCTGGTAGAAGTTTACCAATTTATCAGAGGCCCTTCTTGTCTCCATAATCCACCCTGATGATGGAGGCAGCAATTACCTCTTATACTCTGGTAAATTTTGTACCAAACTACACGTCGCTGCAGCCCAGAAAACAGCCATCTTCGTACTCCCCGTCGTGAGAATCTCAAATCATATTATTCGGTTTAGTTTTCGATGTATTTTCTTTTATAGCGGAAAATGAGACTAGCGATTGCGATATTATTTATGGTATTGTAGTCCTCAGTTTATGATAAATTTCGACTTTGAAAATAAATATTCAGGTAATGTCTATGGAAGATATTGACGATTATATATTTTAATAACTTTGGCTAAAATTTATGACATTATCCATCGTCTGTCACTACCGGTGACAAATCCAGTCTCCGAAACGTCGTGTTATGAGAAACAACAGACAATAAATAATGTCCAAAATTTTAGGCAAAATGTTTTCAGAAAATCTTGTTAGCCAGATTTTGTACGGAGTAAAATTTCACAATTTTAATTTCCATACGGTACCAGAGGAATATCAGCTTCCATGGTAATACAGAAGAGAGGTCATTAGGATACGCTCTCAACAGATCGCCTCTTGCTTTGAAAAGTTCTCCTTAATTCCTTGAAACAAATCCTTCAGGAGTCATAGAGAAAAACTGCTCACTACATAATCAGTAGGTACTTTGAAGTCATTTTCCAAGCGACTAATTTTATTACATGCTTAATAGTTGAATGGAAACAGTGACCTGGAAATTATTAACTGCATCTGAGAGGTGTTGATCAGTACAAAGCCCGTCGAAGAGTTTCTTTGCCACAGGAATATTACTTCGGGAAAATGTTCTGCTGCTTCTAAATTGTCTGCCAATTCATATCCTTTAAGCTTCATCGTCCCGGAATCATCCGTCATGTTTACAGTTGTCTCGAGGGAATTTTGGAAGAACCCCACAGCGGAATTGACGTTTTATTTTTATATCCAATCATCATGCTCACTGCATCTGTGCACTTTTTAGTTTAAGAATAAAAAAGTGTAGAACTTTTGTCAAAATTCCGCGAATATTTAAGAAATTAAAAGCAATAAGAAAGTAAATATATTAAGATAATTTTAGGTTAGGGTTCGGACACAATTTCAAGCAATTTACTTGAAACAGAAATAACATCTTACCATTATGACTTCGCAGGACTCATGCGTCACAAGAATTACATAACTCTCGTTTACTGTAGTTCCTCCACGCTTTTGACTGTTACGTTATATAGAACCCTAAGTCTACTTCTTGGATAATTTATGTTTCATCTTTTAATGTCGAGGTCAAGAAAGAGTGGAGTGATACCTCCATCACCTACGCGTCCTTATGGCAACTCGCCTTTAGTGATAAAATTGTTTGGAAGCTACTGAATAAAGGCAAGTTTGAAATTTCAGTAACACAGATGTATGAGCCACAGAGTTCATGAATGGGTGGAAACATCAAAATAATTTCTTTTTCACAGTTTTCTTCTCTGTAGTCTACGTTAACTAACCCTATAATGTATGACGTAGCGTTATGGCTACATCGGAAAATATGCTTCGTAGTTTATGTTGATGGCATGAGATTGAAGGGCAAAGCAGGGAATTTATTCACATATCATTCTGCTAAATAGAATATATATTTGCTTTGGGTTGGCAGCTTTACAGGCCCTGTGGAACATTTTTTGTTGTTTCTCAATGTGACGTTAGTAGCTTATGAAGATGAGTGATAATTTTTAATAATTTATGTATGCAAAACGGGCAAGAAACTGATGTGAAAAATATAATTGGCTTGAAAGAAACATAAATATAAAATGGATTTAATTATGAGAGGATATTTAGTAAAATGTGGATCAATGATTTGGGTATAATTTTGGATGCACTGCGCATTAAGGTGTGATTTGTGTTGTTGAGGTCAAGGCACCAAAATTCTTATTCTTGTGGTTAAAGATAATTTAAATAGAAGCGTAAAGCTGTAATTTTGTGTAAATATGCTACTTTCACAGTTTTATTGAAGAACAACTCATCTTAAATTTCCCTTAGCCTAGGAAATGGTAGCTTCAAAATTTTAACACATTAACACATTTACCATATAAATGTGACACCCGGAAGTAATAATGAAGAGATGTTAATAATGATGATGACTCTAACTACCGGTTCTTAATTACAATTATTCTTGTTTCAGACACATGTTATGGTGAGGAGGATTTGAGGTTCTCAGGGCGGTGAATTTAAAGATGGCGGTCTTCTGGGTTTTAGCGTCGTGTAGTCTGGTATAAGTTTACCGACGTTTCAGAGGTCCTTACTGCCTCCATCATCAGGGCG